ACCAATGGATGAGATCCAAGGTGCTACTGGATGAGATTCCCGTGTCCAGATCAATGTCTGCCTTCATCCTCAATCACTGACCTTCTGTGGGGAATGGGTTCCTTTGAGCCTGCTCAGGGTGACAGCCAACAGGGGGTCAGCCTTGATGACAGTGGAAAAGCCAGTGCAGAGTGGGAGCATTGTTCAAGGCAAGCTGAGTGGGGAATTTGCGCATAAGGATGAAGAGGATTTGAAGGGGAAGCCAAACTCTACCTCTATTAAATGCACCTCCCTCTTCAGCATCCCTGGAGTCAGACATATCTGGCTTGAGTTCCAGCTTCACCACTTCCAAGTCACCTTGTCTGAGTCTCAGGTTCTTTACATGTGAAACAGAGGTTACTGTACATATTTCAGAGGGTTTCGGGAGGAACTGGTGAAATAGTCCATGGCTAAGCACTTAGAATCATAAGGAAGTAGAGAAAGGGGAAGACAGGTTGAGTTCTAGAAATCCCTAATAGAAAGGATGAGAACAGACTTGTTTATTCAAACCTGAACTCTAGAATTTGCCTCTTCCATTATCAGCCTTGGCTTCAGTGGCCTCCTTCACCACGCATAATAATAACAATAGTGGCTGACATTATTTGAATGCATTGGCAAAGTGTATTGCATATATTATCACATGTGCTAAAAGGTAGGTACAGTGGTTACCTCCAAGTTATCAGTAAGGACCCTGAGGTACAGAGAGGTCAAGTAACTTTCCCAAAATCACACAGTGAGGCAGTGGCAGGGCCAAGAGTAGATTCCAGGAGTCTTTCCGGAATTTGGGCTCTGAGTCAATTTGCTGTCCCGGACACAACATTCCAGGTACAAATCATAAGTGCTTAAGGTATGGGGGCCCCTGCTCCTGAGGGTGAAAAATCAAGAAGAGCTGGGATTTTCTGATTTGGTTACAGCTTTCTGATTTTCTTACTTGGTTACAGCAGAGGTTATGGGTGTGCACCTGTCCCATCTCCCCAGCCCTTCCTTCCCTCACCTCATAGCCCTGATTTATTTATTGCCGGGGCTCTCTATTCATTGTTCAGAACCTCTTTTCAAATGACTGAAGGAGCCTTCTCAGCCTTTGCTAAAACAGTTAATCTTTTGTGGCAAAGCCGAATATTTCTAGGAAGGAAGGACTTTTCTGTGATTTTTCCGGCTATGGGAACAACACAGAGCACATTAAAAAGAGAAATTGAGGCGGCACCTGTGGTTCAAAGGAGCAGGGGGCCGGCCCCGTATGTTGGAGGTGGTGAGTTGGCAGGTTCAAACCCTGCCCTGGCCAAAAACTGTAAAAAAAAAAAAAAAAGAGAGAGAGAGAGAGAGAGAGAAATCAGATCCAAGCTCTTGAATCTGCCTGAAGCAGTTCTGATGAACTTTGCCTTTTTGTCTGAGTATCTGGAAATCACTTTTCTAAAGGCATGAGGGCATACCTCTGGGGTCAGTAGAGAACTCTCTGAAGAATTCAAAACTCCGTGGAATGTAGACTCTATTTACCCATTTATTCAAGAAATATCTATGGAGGTTCTGCTCTGTGCAGGTACTGAGCAGGGCATTCAATCTTATTTGAAGAGGAAGGAAAATTTACCGATGCCACCACTGGTTATGGGTTGAACTATGTCCCCCTAAAAAAGATATGTCCTAACCCCCCAGCACCTCAAAATGTGACCTTATTTGAAAACTGCGTTGTTATAGAGGTGATCAAGTTAAAATGAGGTCATGAACCTGTGTCCTTATAAAAAGGGACAATGACACAGGCAGACCTGTAGGGGAGGAAAATGGTATGGAGACAAACAGGAAGAATGACATGAGAAAATGACAACAGAAATTAGAGTGATGTACGAGGTGTGACAATTAAGTTCACAAACTCATCCTAGACAAAGCGCTACAACCTCACTGCTGAATATCACTAGAGTCCCCTTCAGTGTACTCCACGTGGCCATCTGGTGACCATAGAGATATTCAGCAATGAGGTATGTAGCACTTTTTCTAGCATGAGTTCACCAACTTAATTGTCAGGCTTCATAGGATGACAGCTCTGATGATCACTCCAGGAAAAGATTTCCAAAATTGCTTTGAGGGGTGGACTAGGCACTGGAGTCAGTCCATAGCTTCCCAAGGGGCGTACCTTGAAGGTGACCATGGTAATATTCAGCAATGGGGTATGGAGCACTTTTTCTA